AAAAAAAAAAAAAAAAAAAACTTTCATAAATCATTTGATTTGGTATTTTCAGAGAGCTTCATTAATTTAAAAGTGTAAAATAAATAAATAAAAAAAGTACAACTCAAAAAGTTACAACCAATTATATAGAAAAAGTTACAACCAATTGTAGGATGCATTAAATATTGATTAGATTTTATATGTAAAATAAAATGAAAAATAACTGGAATAGTTTTACGTGTTGCAATATTTCATATTTTAAAAAAATAAAAAAATCTTCTTTTACGTATTGCATACCAACATTTTAGGAACTACATGAATATTCCTAAATTAATATTGCATACCCCATATTTTAGGAACTAATTAAAGTCTAATTTGATTTGCATACCAAAAATATTAATTGCATTAATTAAATGCTTGATAAAAATAGCAAATCATTAATTAAAGTTGACTATTCTACATACTACATTTAGTAAATAGTATAGCTTTTAATATAAGTATAGATATCATATAACTATTTGAAATATAAATATATTAGTTGATAAATAATTTTTTTTGTAATTAATATTAAAAATAATTTTATTATTGTTATAAAAATAGATATAAATTATTTTTTTTATACATACAATATGGATGTTAAATCGAAGCTCATCAAAAGAAGATTAATTTGATATATTACATATGTAAAACTGATAAAAAATACAAAAGTTATTAACTTTTAAAATATATATACAATTCAATACTTATAATAAGGAATGATATTAAAATACTATTAATACATGTAACATGACCATAAATAATCAACATATTTATGGTAATTCGAACCTAATTATTTTTTGTTTGAAATTAAATTAAAATATACTCAAACCTAATAACAAAGCATGTAATTTTGCCACATAGGATTCCGAAGCACCAGAAATAACCACGTAGGCTCAGCGCGTTCTGTATTAATATATAGGGGATTTACGATTGATGTTCGTATTTTATGGTTTTGATTTCTTATTTTTCTAAAACTTTTTGAAAAGTGTAGAAAACATGTATAATATCCCATAGTAAATCCTACCAGTAAACATTTTGGTTCAACTGATTATCAATATTAATATTCACATAAGGTCACTGTTAATATTACATTATTAAGACAAAATTGAACTTCACACGACCTTTTCAAAATTATATTTTTGTCACTTATTTATTTCTTTTGACCAACAAATAAATAACATTTTTATTTTTAGCAAAACACTCAACCGACTCAACACATGTTATGATATCATGTATCTACTCTCACTTCCCATTAATGTCACGGGCTCACGACTAGTAATGTAAGACCTAACACGCGACAACTCGTTGAGCAAGCAAAACTTTTATTGTATAAATTGTTTCGGGAAACAACAATCTGAATCGGAGAAAATTCAACGCCATGTTCT